TACATACATACATACATACATACATACATACATACATACATACATACCAGAGGTGGTATTCATCAGGTTCTGACCAGTTCTGGAGAACCAGTAACAGAAATTTTAAGTAGTTCGGAGAACCGGTAGTGGAAATTTTGAGTAGTTTGGAATACCACCTCTGACTGGCCCCGCCTCCATCTATTCTCTGTCTCCTGAGTCCCAGCTGATCGGCTGCCTTGTACAGGAGAACACAACTGGAAAGCACATTAGGTGTGGGGTGGGGAGAGAATGGGGATTTTACAGTATCCTTCCCCTGCCATGCCCACCAAGCCACGCCCACCAAGCCACACCATGCCCACAGAACTGGTAGTAAAAAAAATTGAATCCCACCACTGCTACATATGTTGAATATATCTATATCTAATCTATATCTATCTATCTCTATTTATCTATCTATCTTCAAAATTCCTGTTCAGTTTCTCTTTTTATACAATTATACAGTTTATCCATTTTCCCCTCTATGGATACTAACAAAGACTATCAATACAATAACACATTAAACTGTATCAAAATGGCAGATTACTCTCCACAACATGTAGGAAAGGAATATGAGACATATATCAAAAATTTACATTTTGTTTTGTATACCAGTGGATTCATAGGTTTAATCTGCCCAGATATACCTTGTAGGCTAAGTAGATGCTGTGGTGGAATATTTATTCCTCATATGTTATATTTCTACCAGTAATAAATGCTTTAAATGTATAAGCATTCATAATTTAGTAGTTATTTTACTGATTTCAAGATGTTTATTTTTTAATAAACGTCAGAGATGATATGCAATAGAATTGCAGAATCTAATATTTGTTCCCTACTAGCATAATGAAATTGTGCAGTTTTGGAAAGACTGCTATAAATGCCTTTTCTAAACAGAAGGTTCTAGGTTGTCAGATCAGCATAATGTAAAGTTGATTCTCTGTACCAAATAGTTCCTTGGGGAATGGTGGGGAGAGAAACTGATTTGCTCAACATTCCTGGATTGATTCCAGAATCCTAAAGTGAAACCAGCTTTCTGTAATAGTGTTACAGTTAGAAAATGTCTAGGTGATTTTCTACTTTGCATTACATAAATGTTTTTCCCCGCTCATCTCTTTACAGCAAGTCCCACCAAACCAGGACGGGGAGGATACCCAAGTTCAGAAGAGGTGGTTCGGGAATCCAGCAGCACTACTGGCATGGTGGTTGGGATTGTAGCAGCAGCTGCTCTTTGCATTCTCATCCTCCTCTACGCTATGTACAAGTACAGGAACCGAGATGAAGGCTCCTATCATGTTGATGAGAGTCGAAACTACATCAGTAACTCAGCACAGTCCAACGGGGCTGTGATTAAGGAAAAGCAACCCAACAGCTCTAAAAGTTCCAGCAAAAATAAGAAAAACAAGGATAAGGAGTACTATGTCTGATCCCAACAACTGGAAAGAACAATTGTATAGAAATAGTCTTCATTTTATCTGAGACATAAAACAAAACTTATTTACTTTACTTTTTATGAAGCACATACAAAATTTAAAAAATGGGGAAAGGAATATGGGGAATGCAAATAGAAAGGAAAGACTTTTTAACAAAACAAGGAATGACAAAATGAAATAAGCATTTCATACACTGGTTCCTCTGAAACGGGAGTCAGTAAACCCCCTTACGTTCACAGTGTTTTCATTTACTCTGCCATCTTTATGTTGCTGGAATGTTTCTGAAGAAGATGTTGGTACTACTGCACACTCATAAGGCAAAGAGTATTACTCCAAAACATCACCCAGCACAACAAATTGTGACAAACTGAAAGAAATAAAAGATGAAATCATGCACACACCCACAGTAAGGAAGCTACCTATGAGATTGCATTTAGCCAAAGTGCTAGCACTTTCCTAAGGAGTAAATCAATCTGATTACCTGACAAGACTTTGCCATTCGACACAAGCCCTCAAGAAGCAAAGGTTGAAACTGAGCTTGCTACCTGGTGCAACAAACAATGATTGGAGCTTGGGTTTGAAGTAAAGTGCTGGCTTTTCTGAATAAACCACATTTAAAAACAGAAAAAGAAAACATTTTTGAAAAAAAAAAAGCCCCATTCTGGTTGTGAGGAAAAAAATATATAGCGGCCTTATTTTCAAAAATAACAATAAACAAATAAACAAAATACATGAAATATAAGGCTTATTTTCACACACCGTTAACCAACAAATCCTAAACTGAGGGCATAGATGCGATCATTGGAATTTAAGAAATCATGCACGCTTAGTATGTTATTACCTATGTTTATATTAAAAACACATCTATATGTGCTTTCTGGACTGTGATAAGTGATGTTTTCTAGCCTGTTGTATAGAAAATGCAAACTATATCTGCTCTTCAACCATTTTTGGTAAACTCAATGTTCTAAGTGTTGCTAGGTATAGAATGTTTTATGACATCTGGAGCAACCAACATTTCTGTTTACTTTTACAGCCATGAGAAACTGCCACACTTTTTATTCCCTTCTTGTCTTCCTTCCTCCCTCCCTTCCTTCTTCCCTTCCTTCCTGGGTTTGATTTTAATTTACAGTGTAGTAAATATACTAAACAGGATGTGTATGAATGTATATAAGAGTCAGCTAATTTTCTTCTTAACTTGTACAGCCTCTCTTCTTTTGCAGTTCAGTTTTAGTAGTTTGTATGAAAGAAGTGGACTTTAGAAAGCAAATATATATAGATATAAACTTCATAATTTTCTTCTCCAATTGTCTATCCTCTCATATGATACATTAGCAAGACTGATCACAGTTATGTGATTTCAGCTCCTTTCTCCTCCTTCCCCATTGAATCCAGCACTGCTGATTTAAGTGACCTTTACACTCTAGTTCAGCTTTCTGGCTACTTGGCCAGGAATTGAGAAGAAGGTTGAATTCCATGATATTTTTCATCTAAACCTTTATTATCATTTGCTTTTTGTTTGTAGTATACCATTAGATAGTTGGTTGGTAAAGAAATTCAGAAATCTGCCCTTTAAAATACTCTAGCGCCTCTCAGTAAAGCAACCCCAAGTTGGGAAAAATAATAATGTTCTTAACATAACTCTACAAAACAAGAACAAAAGTTGCACCTTTTGTCAAATGAGGAATGATTCTCCTTTTAACTTGTTTTTAGTTACCCGGTTCTTACCCTGAGCTTGAATAGATTTTCTTCCAAGGTAACGGGTACAATGGTTTGGTAAAAAAAAAAAAACTTCTCTTAAGATTCTCTGCAAAGATATATGTAGAAACATGACAAACATTCTGGTTTATATACATGCTTATGTTACAGATTTGCAAGTTTGTTTTTTAACAACAACAACAAAGTGATTGCTGCACTGGGTTCCCAATGATATGTCATTCTGTAGTATCTTACTTAGAGAGATACAAGTACATTAATGGAAAGATAGTTCAGTAGGAAATTCGCCTTATCCTAGAAGGTCTCCTGGGAGGAATAGAATTGTTCACACTTTACAGACTGGAAAAAGGAATTCAAAATTAGCTTTAACCAATAAGACACTGTATTTTCTTGTATGCTGTTTGCTGCTCTTATGGCAAAAGACTTGGAACTAGTGTTCAACAGAGCAATACTTTAGAAATACAGTAGAACACTGCAAAATGGTTTGTATAATGTGCTTTGTATCAAGGGCTTATGAGAGAAGAAAGGATGATGCATATGACTATCTAAAGGCTATATTGTGCTCAAGATAATCTGAAATTGTTTGGCCAATTGTTCTTGTATCTACCACCTTTTGCTGAGGGGAGGGCAGGAATAGGTTCATCCTCCATTATAACCATGGCAGAAACCTGGCAAGCCATCAGTGAAAAATGGATATTCATAATCAGGAGACAGAGGGAATTTAAGCTTTGGTATTCACTGATGGTGAGGTTCATATGTGACTTCATATACTCACTTTGTTACCCAACTTTTCCCCCCAAGCACTTACATACTTACTTTAAGGAGTAAGTGATGGGAGATTGCTACTTCTAGCAAGGATTTCAACTTGTTTTGGGGAAGTTACTCCTGTTCTACCTTGTTGATTTTGTGATTTAATAATGAGCAAAAAGTGTTCGCATTTATCAAATATTTGCAGTAGCTATATTAAAACACTTTTTTTTCAAAATCGTATAACAAATTCATTAATACCATCTCTATAATAATCTAATTTGTTTGACTAACGCTGCAATCCTATGCATAATTAGGGGGGAAGGGATCAGTCCTATTTAAGTCATTGGGACTACTTCTACATAAACATGCCTAGGATTTTGCTGGGATGAGATGGCTATGGGTTGGTTTTTTTTATTACTGTATTGTGTTGTCTTTTTTTTAACAAAACACTAAAAGAATATGTGAAATTATTCATTCCCAAAATATTAAAAAAGGTCAGAAGCCCTTAACCTTATAGTGCTTTCTGTGATAGATATTTACAATTTTTTTTAATTGTTGCAAGGCCAATTTATCCATTATTGGAAATGCTAAGCAAGTGGAATTTACCGTTTTGTTAATAAAATGTTTCTTAATACAATTGGTGGCTCATTATTTTTCAGCTCTTTGCACTGTGAGTCTGTAATCATCCTAATAATTCTTCCAGAGAGAGATCAAAAAAAGTGGAGGCTGTGGCCACAACTGTGTGATCAAAGCATCACCTGTTCTTATGTGTGTCATTGGATAGAATTGGATGGATAGAATACATGAAAAATGGAGCAGGGCTTCAATTATCCAGTCAAAGAAATCACAGAAAAAAGGCATGTTTATGGGGACACTCCTAAAATTTGTGTAGACCCCAGATCAGTTTCATTTCCCTCACATTTTTCTCTAAATTATTATATATGAAACAGACCCGCACAGTTATTCATATTTTTAAAAAAGCAGGTGCCCACAACTGAAAATTAAGAGAGACCATATTAAACATATCTTAGATAGTTTATTCTTAATAAAAGGTTTTGATTTGATTCACACATTGCTATGTTCACAGTTTACAAAATGAAATACAATTTATTGAGTTTGCTGAACACTAAGTTATAAATTTTTAATTTAAAAAGTACTACGGCTGGAGTCATGGAACGCACTGAAGCATAATTAAACAAGTAACTTTATAACTTATTGAGGAGTCTGAACTCAATCTTTGTATCAGGAGTGATTAATCATAGCCTGTGCTCAAGCTGATGGGCTGATTACATGGCTGGAATTAATGTGGATCAAGGTGCAGGCAGAAAAGACAATGTTCTTCAAAACTGCCCTCAGAAAATGAGGAAACCTGATCTCTCTTATCTCATAAAATAATGACTGATTTCAGTTAGAGGAACAGAAAAGTCCTCTTACAACAAATGGAAATTTGGATGATAAAACTGCATAATTGTGTCTACAGATAATTCAGACTTTTACTGATGGTCATCTTTAAGCACAAGCCATCTCTAGCCTTAGATTCCCTGCAAGGAAATGAACTAAAGAGTCTTGGTGGGACAGTGGTTAGAATGCAGTATTGCAGGCTAACTCTGCCCACAGCCAGAGGTTCAACCCTGATGGGGCTTGAGGTTCACTCAGCATTCCATCCTTCTGAGGTCAGTAAAATGAAAAGCCAGATGATGACATTGTAAACCACTCAGTGCTGTAAAGCACTATGGAACAGTTTATGAGTCTAAGTGCTATTCCTAAGTACTAAACGTCTTTAACCCCTTCTAAATTCTATGATTCTATAAAGATGAAGCGACTCTTATGTTTGCAACAGTTGGGGACAGTATTAGAACTTATCTATAGAACTTATCATTAACTCCTAGATTATTCCATTTTTGTTAAGCAGTTCTGATGTTAGAGCTGCTCATTGTACATAAATCCTAGCTATGTACCAGCTAGGACTCTGAAATCTGGGCTGAAACATCCCTAATAAAGCCATTATGCAGATTTGTACTTAATGTGATTTATGAAGCTGGAACTGTTTATGCTACAATGTGCCAAATCAGACACAATTCACCAGTCAAGTACAGAGATTGGCAGTTCTTTGGAAATAGGAGAAAGATATTGAACTCTAAATGGCTGCCATGTATGACTCATCTTGGTGCCAGTATAGGATTTCCAAACAAGAGTTTGTTTCAATCAAAGAGGACATACTAGAAATGAATATGATTTGTTGCTGTGTCATTCTTAACTACCAATACATGGAGCTTTCAAATGAGTTTAGACTTAAAATGGACATTATTTGGAAACAAATGCCAGCCTTCCTTCTTTGCTATTGTGACTGGAAATGTTTATTCTCAAAAAAGAGAAAGTTAGAGCTCGGATTTTTAGAATGTGTTATAAGAAAAGTTAAGTTCACCCATACAGGAATTCCAGCACATATACAATCTACTGGTAGTCCTTGACTTACAACCGTTCATGTAGTGACCATTTTAAGTTACAACAGCACTGGAAAAATGATCGTTTCTCACACATAAGACTGTTGCAGCATCCTGATGGTAATGTGATCAAAATGCAGATGCTTACCAACTGACTCATATTTATGACCATTGCAGTGTCCTGGGATCATGTGATCACCCTTTGCAACCTTTTGACAAAGTCAATGGGGAAGCCAGATTCGCTTAACAACTGCAGTGATTCACATAACAACTGGCAAGAAAGGCTGTAAAATGGGGCAAAATTCACTTAACTGTCTCACTTAATAACATAAATTTTGGGCTCAATTGTGATCATAAGTCAAAGTCTACCTGTATTCAATTGAGAAACCTATTTATGAGAACACTTTTCTTCATTTTCCTTGAACTCTTGTGAAGTTGGAACAGTATACACCTCTATATTGTAACTGTTTTTTCTTGCTCTCGGATGAACCATTAGCAGCGAAATGAGCTGGCACAATTCTAAAATATGTGAATAGAATATAACTCTAGAAAATGTAATTACCTGGATTTTTGTCTAACTTTGGAAACTAGAAAATTATTGATTAATTTGAACACCTTGGTCCCAGCAATCTTCAATTATTTTCATAAATGATATAGATTAGATCAAAATTCAGAAGGATCTTAACAAACTAAAAAGTAAGGTCCTGGACTTAGGCAGGAAAAACCAAATGCATAGGTATAGAATAGGCACCCAAAGG